TTTGATATAGTTAAAGTGACTGTTCTTGCTTCGAGATATAAAGCTTGGGAGGCCCAAATATTGTTGATGGCATTCTACCATATTGACTGAGAAAATGTTCCTAATTATATCMTTCACCAAACCAGAAGCATTAGGACTAAACGCGACTACAGACTTATCAAAATTTATCATTTGACCCRAAGCAGTTTCGTACTTTTTAAGACAGTCACTAATCGCTGTTTCTTCACAAGATTTAGCCTTAAAGAACAACAGGCTATCATCTGCAAAGAGATCGGTGATTGGGGGACTATACCTAGCAATACGAAGTCCAGAGATCCTATTTTCCTTGGCTGCCTGATGAAGGAGGCTAGATAAGCCCTCCGCACACATGAGGAACAGATAAGGAGAAAGAGGGTCTCCCTGACGGAGCTCCCTTTGCGGCACAATATGCCCACACTTTGTCCCGTTTAACTTAAAGGAAAARGTCACCGAACGGACACATCTCATAATTAATTCCACCCAGCTTTTTCCGAAGCCTAACTGAAGCATAACCTCTTCCAAAAAGCCTCGTTCCACCCTGTCATAGGCCTTACTCATATCTAATTTCAAAGCAGCCCAAGCTGATTTACCCACTTTCCTTTTTCTCAAAGAGTGAATACACTCAAATCCCAAGATTGCATTATCAACAATGTGCCTTTTTGGGATAAACGCGCTTTGGTTAGGCGATATAATCGTAGGAAGAACTCTTTTAAGCCTATTGACAAGAACCTTTGAGATAATTTTATAGCTAACATTGCACAGAGAAATGGGCCTAAAATCAGAACATGTTTAAGACTACTCCCTTTCGGAACCAACACTATCATAGTCTCATTCAGAGGTTTTAAATCACAATTATTATTAAGAACATTCAGACAACACGCAAGGACATCCTTACCTACAATATGCCAGAAGTTCTTATAGAAAACCCCAGGAAATCCATCTGGCCCCGGGGATTTATTCGGATGAATCTGTTTTAGGGCTAGAAGGACCTCCTCTTAATTAAAGCTTCTCATTAAGTCTCTATTATTGGCATCTGTGACCCGAGGCTCAACACTTTTTGAAACTTGCTGAATATCAAGAAGGCTTGGATTTGAAGAGGAAAAAAGAGTTGAGAAATAGTCAGAGATTATACCTGCCACCACAGACTGGTCAGTCTCCCAATGACCCTGAGTGTCAAACAAACCATTTATTTCATTTCTCTTCTTCCTGTAMGATGCTTTACTGTGAAACCACCTTGTGTTCCGATCACCCTATTTGAGCCAATGATCGCGAGATCGTTACCTCCAATAAATTTCCTCTTCATTCAAAAGCTTCTCCAAATTATATTCTGCCGTCTGAATTCTGGTTCGGTCAGATACAAAGGGGAGATTATGAATTGCAAATTGTAACTGTTTTTCTGCTTCTTGTAATCTTCTCTTGTAATTACCCRCCTTATTCCGACCCCATTTCARAASATGGTTAGCACATGTATGAAGCTTAGMCTTTAAAGAYTGAGAGCTGCYGTCATGGACCTCACTGCTCCACCCATTAACTACCATCAATTCACATTGATGATCTTCCAGCCATGCTTCTTCAAAGCGATAAAGCCTTTTTRTCATCAATCTACCCTTMAAGACATCTTGTACTACACTTAGTTGCAGAGGTCTATGGTCGGATGTTCGATAGTCTAGATGTTTCACGTCAAAATTYGGATATAACGAAGCCCAGCCCGGGTTGCACAAAATCCGGTCTAGCCGCTCAAAAACTGTTCCACCATTTGGTCTTCTATTACACCAAGTCACAGCTTCACCYRAAAATCCCATATCAATTAGATCACAATCATCCACCGCCAAACTAAAATCATTGATCAACTTGTCATCTTTCGGTCTCCCCCCAATTTTCTCAKAATGGGCTAAAATTCCATTAAAGTCGCCACCAATGAGCCATGGCRTCGATMYGCTTCCTTTCAACCAACGCATTAAGTCCCACGAAAGATGACGATTCTCTTCCTCCGRATACCCATAAAATCCMRTTAAACGCCAAAKATTCCCTTCAAATTCAACTCCCCCATCAATATGATTTTGCGAGAACGAGATCAAGTTGAAAGTCAATGTATCCTGCCACATSAAAGCTAAACCACCACTTCTCCCTTTACAATCCAYCGAAATACAGTTTGAAAAACCCAGCCRTTGCTTAACACTGTTAACTTTGTCTCTTCTAGCTTTTGTTTCAGAAAGAAACAAAAWATRAGGTTTCGAGATCTGCACTAAATCATGCAGACTTTGGAATGTCGTGGGAGACCCCAACCCAYGAACATTCCAGAATAGGCCTATCATTGAGTTTGGCGGGGCTGCATAACAGCCTCCGCCAAATCTGATACCTCCATCGCCGGCCCATTACTAAAGCCCATTTTGCTTCCGTTATCCATTTTCAAGAGTTTCTGATTAGTAGAAACAATAGTGCCCTGACTTTCTTCCGCTGGGCTCCCTTTCCGTTTCCCACAAGATGGGCCTAGCGACTCCAAACCCCAGTCTAAAACCGGTAGAATTCTAGCAGCCTGTTTCCAACTCTTTTGGGTTCCATTTGACTTACTCCTCATAATGTCCACCAACCCAGAGCCTTGATTAGACATATCAAATTCCTCATCCTGCCCAGATTTATTGCTTTGGGCATTTAAATCCAGATCCATGGTCAGACTATCTGTAATAATGACGGTCTCATTTTCTTCCGTTTCCTTAAATCCCTCATGAATAGTGGTCTCTTTTGGGAATGATTGCCTCATTAATGAGATTTCCGTATCTTCCGCCCTCTCGACAGGAGTTACCTTTTTCGACCCCTCTTCCAGACCGGATTCCCCCGAATCGCCCCTTGCCGGAACGTCCACCGTCGCATTGTCCGACACCTCCCTCCGGACAACATCTGCCGGAAATTTATTCTCCTCGCTCTCCTCTTCGAACCGTCGCCAGTCCCCCCATCCTCCACGACCCTTGTTACTTTGCCCTCCACGGCCGCCCCTAAACCCAGTTTCTGCCCCACGCAAGCCCACATTCTTCTTTAGCAAGGATGCACGTAACCACTCCCCATACTGGTTCTGACAAAGAGTGTTACGATTGTTGCATTCCCTTCCTGAATGACCAATTATTCCACATTCATAGCAGAAATCTGGTAGTTTCTCAAAYCGAATTGGGCACCACATATCCTTTCCATCGCTGCCACATAATTTCAAACCTCTCCGCAACGRCTTMGARATATCAATCTTCACTCGCAGCCGAAAGTAAGGTCTTGTCCAACCCTCCTGGTCTTCACTGTCCACTGTTTCAACCTCACCTAYCTTACTCCCAAGCATAAGAGCCATCTCCTGASACATACATTCAAAAGGTATGTTATGGATCTGAATCCAGAAAGCACAAACATTSAAATTCATTGCAAGAGGCTGATCTGTGGCGGAAGGAGAARCTAGGACAAARAGGGATTTGTTGAAAGTCCAGGGTCCGGAGTTTAGGACTCGAGTTTTCTCTCCTAGAGATCGAAAYAGACAGACATACGTATTCATCCCGATAGGTTCTATCCTTGTGGTATCATGAACATTCCAAACTTGCTTCATTACCGATTGTAATGCCTCCGTGCTTGTACGCTTGCTTGATAGGAGTTTCCCCACCACACAAAGCTGAACATTGTCCTCATTCATTATTGGTTTTTCCTTGTCAATCACTATCACCTCATTCTCTTCAGAAGTTAGATTGAGGTTTTCGCAACAGGCAACGAGGTCATCCATGACTGACCTAACCTGCAGAAGCCTAATAGAGGCTCCCCAAAACCCGAAGAAAACCGCACTCTCAAAAAGAGAGAAACACTCTCACAAAAAGAGAAGACGAATACATTTCAATAAGAAATAAGAAAATTAAAGTGATGGTAGAATTAGTGATTTAAGTGGTACCTTAAAAATCAATATAAAGTAATTTTAAACTTTCCTAATTTTAATTGGGAAGGAAGTGATTTTGACCACGGCAATGACAAGATCACTCCCAAACACACTCTAATTCTATATACTTTATATTGTATTGTCCGTTTAGGGTAAAATATACAATATTTTAAGAAAAGGTAGTGCAAATAAGGAACATAAAGATTCTTTTGTCATAACCTACTTTTTTTTTATTATTATTTAATAAACAAGTGTGGGTCATAACCTACTTTTTTTTATTATTATTTAATAAACAAGTGTGAGAATGAAGATCGAACCCCTAACTCTAAGAGAAAGAGTAGATTGTTTGGTCATACCCGCTCATTTCTATTTTAGAGTAGAAATTTGATACTGTTGGCATAATGAATTAGACACCAAGATAAAATAAGGGAAACATCCGACATATCAGTTTTTCTAAGTCACAAAATATCTTTTATCCAGCATGCAACTCTATTTTGTCCAGTTGTTTTTACTTTTTGTATTAATTCCATTTAAATTTATCTAATTAGCATGATATGTCATTATTCAATGGATAATCGAGAGGGAATTAAAAACTAGTACAAAAAGTAAATATGTATTTATATACATAACATTAAGTTTAAATTTTTAATTAAAAATGATATAAATTACAAATTCATACGATGACAGGAGACAAAATTAGGTCAGAGACCATTTATAACTATTTTCCAAACTTCTTGGATGAAGTCATCATACAAGATGCAAAATACACCGAAATTGATAGTAAAAATAAATTCAAAATATACAAAATAAATATAAAAATAGTGGATAATTATACGGATAAAGTGGACTTTTGACCCGATGTAGTTTTCGACCACTAGTAAAAATGTATCTTTTAAAATTAGATGGATATTCCAAACCTCAACATTTCCTATAAAATAAGGAAGAGAGTAATTCATTTTTTTTTAGTACCAAGAGATCAAACTCACAAATAGATATATGATTCTTAATTACCTAAAATCTGAATTTGAAACTTCATTCATAATCAAGGATCAACAGACGACTAATTTAAGTTTTGATCCAAATTAAATGAGTGCAGAAATCAGAAAGGGAAAGACTTGGACGTTACTTTACACTTTCCTCTTGATTCAACGGTGGTGATTGATCCAAATCAAGTCGCGACGCGTTACCAATCCAGGAACTGCCGCCAGTATACAACAAATCCGTCCGTCATTCCAAGCGTCAAAAATTTCAGACTCAGATCTACGGCGGAACCTCCAACTCCGGCTCCGGTTACGCCGTAAACCATATTCAGCGGCGGTTAGGGTTTCGCCGCCTCTTTGTTGCTGTTATCTCAACGAGAGAGGAAGGATATTTTGTTTGCCGTCGGAATGGCGAAGGAGGAATTTAGGGTTTACAATTCGATGACGCAGCAGAAGGAGGTCTTCACGACGAAGGAGCCTGGTAAGGTTGGCATGTATGTATGTGGCATCACGGCCTACGATTTCAGCCATATTGGCCATGCCCGCGCGGCCGTCAACTTCGACGTCCTCTACAGGTATACCGATTTCTATATGCAGTTGATTCCATCAGCCAGATTTTCTTTTTGGCTCTTGGATTATGAGGTTGTAGGTAGCGCCGGCATATAATGGTTCCGGGAGTTGCATAATTTTATACCTTATTGGAACTGTTTATTTATTATCTTGGTTGTATTTAGCTAAGTGTCGGAGAAGTAGAACTTCTGTTACTGGTAACTCGGTTCTTTGTTTTTCTGTAAAATTTAATCAGTATGTCATACTGGTAGTATTGAAGCAATTATATGTAAGTTCATTATGGAAGGGACAAAAAACCGAAGCAAGTCTTAGTATTATGGATATGGATACACCTTAGCGTTTTATTAGTGGTGATTTGACTTGTACGAATGAATTAGGTGCATACAAAAATGTCAACGATGCTTGATTGATAATTTAAAGATTTTGGAGTGGGAATATGAGAGTGAGAGACGCTAACTATGAGGCTGTAAGCTGTAGGTAACGTGAAGGAGATCTATCTTGCTAAATGTACATTTTCTTTGTAGTTCTGTAAGGCTAAGTACTCTATAATGAACTTCCTGAACGAGAAAACTTTTACCTCTTCATAATTATTACCTAAAAAGGGTGAACATTTTTCTAGATGAACTCATTAGATAATCTGAGGCACTTGGGATGTTTTATTACTCATACATTGGTATAATTGGCATGAGATATCTAATATTTCAATGGATAGAGTACCTCTGCAAAGTGAATCTTTTCAATTGTATTTTTGTCTAAATGTTTACAATAAATATGAAGAACCAAAGATTTTCAAATTTTATTATTTTCTGATTGGTCTAGAAGGTGGAGCATAATTTATAATGTGCAACTATAGTCTAAACTGGAGATTGAATATTGGGAGTCTCGTTCTCATGAGAGTCGTTAATACATCTAGCTGTCTAGCATGACTATCTGATTCTCTTAACTTTTAGATTTTTCTACATGTCTGATGACTCATTTTGCAGTTCTGAAGATTTATTTCCGTCAAATGCTTCAATTATTATTTTTTAACGTGGTGACAACACTCATTGCAGATATCTTAAGTACTTGGGATATGAAGTTACTTATGTGCGGAACTTTACTGATGTTGATGACAAGGTGAGTGTGTAGAGTTGTATACATGTCTTACACCAAGCAGGAAGTTGTGTTAGCTGTAGTTTAATGATTTGCTTGTGGTTCTATGATGGACCAGAAGGATGATTTCTTAGAGTTTCTTACTTTTGTTATTTATTTATTTATTTATTTATTTTTGACATGAGACAAACTATCAGTTACAATAGAAAAAGTATTATAGAACAGGAGGATAACCAATCTTCCTATAGCCAGTTTACAAAGTTGACCTTCAATTGGCATTAATCGTAAGATTCATATCTGGAACTGGAAAAAGTTTTAGAGACAGCACACCACCATGAACAAAGATATCTAGCCGTATTTCACTCTTCATCTAACTCTTTAGTTTTATCTTTAAAATTCTTTGGTTTCTTGCCCTTCAAATCTCCCGAAACTCTCTTTTCAGTTTCATTGTTCCACAGAATTTAAAATATCTTTAACAACTGACCACATGGAAAATGGACCAAGTGGCATCAATTAGGCCAGAGAGCCATGTTGAGATAATTTATAATGTGAAAGGACAGTGAAGGGAAATATGACTTTGGTTCTTATCAGCTTGATTGTATTAGCAGCATCGATTAGGCCAGAGAGCCATGTTTTAGGCATTTTATCCACTGAAATAGACAATTAAGAGGCAAAGTTCAAGTGAAGAAGTTAACCTTTTTTTAATGTTTCAACTTTCAAGTTGTCTTAGTGGGAATGCTACCCAAGATGGCATCAGAGTTGTATAGTTGATTCAGCAATGTGCCTTTTCTGACTGGCAAACTAACCAAGCCAGTGTTATTTGGCAGTTATGTGCCTTTGTCTTCTTCTCCTCACAGTAGATTGTAGAGCGTGTTGTGCCACCTTTTAAAGAGGCACATGCCATGGTTGCTATTCTGCCACCACGAGCCTAATCTTCATGGAAACAGGGTGAGACAACAATGTATTGAGGCACGATGGCGAAAACCCAGCAATATCCTAAAAAAATTAGAAAAAGGAGTCATTTAGGGAAAAAATCACATATAGCAGCTTCAGGTTGCTGTGCTGTGTCTTTGTGAAGTGTTCTTTCATTTTTGCTTTTAGAGTCCAGACTAGGCGAAAACTACAAAGATAAAGAAAAAAGAAAAAAGGAAAAAGATCAAGGGTTCTGCTTGCAGAGGTGTGCTTTGGTGTTCAGTTGTGACTTGTGCCCATCAGTGCAACAAAGGGTGTAATTTCATGACCCAGAGCAACACAACACTTGGTGAATATTGAACTGTAAAAATGTGTTTAAAGAGACTGTGATCGTCAAGTGAGGAAAATTGGAGGAGTATCAATTAGTGTTTACTTTACAAATTTCTGTTATATATATATTTTACTTATTTATCTATTCAAGTCTGCATCCCTTCAATCTGGTCATTGCATCTTGGTTGCCTCTTGGTTTGAGTCGGTCAAGAGACTCGTTGCTTTGCATTATGTACTGTTTTTTAAAATATTGACGGCCCTTTGACGAGGCCAAATTTCATCCCCTTGTTGTTCAGAGCAACATATGTTAATGAGGAAACTCTAGGATTTGCCACCTAATGGCTGATGCAGTCTTGGGAAAACTATTTTGAAGTGAGATTACCCTAACACTAATAGCTGGTCTTTACTTAAACTCAATCTTCTCTCTGCTTAATCCAATTTGTCTGTTCAGATACCACCCCCCACTGAGGCCATAATAAAGGTGAGGTGGTGGTGGCCTGAGTAAATTTTATGGAGAGAACAGGGAGGACATCATCATTAGAGATGTTTTTTTTTTTCATGTCTATGTTTCTATGAATACGTATTGTTTGCTCCATTTATTGATTCATGTATTGTATGCCTCATTTTTAGAACTAAGACTCTTATTTCTTTCTACTGTACGTTGTAGAATCATTTTTATTTCCATTTCTTTGTAAGCTCAACTATTTATACTACATGAGTCATAATGGGTAACATGATGTGGTTCTACAGTTCTACTGATATTCTTGGTCATTTCTCGTCTAATTTCATTTTTTAATTTTATTCCCTTTATACTTAAAATTAAACTCAAATTGGGGCAGCTAATAATCATAAGAAAGGATAACATGACCATGATTATCTTTCCAAGAAAGAGACAATAGATTAATCATTAACATGTGTGTATCTCATTAATGAACTCCTTAACTTACCCTAAAAGCCATTCATTGAGTACTGAGGTAGCTGTTGGTTTTTGAGTGCTTGAGTCCAGAGATTTTATTTGCTAATACAAAAGTCCCTGGCTTTGGGTTGTCCCAACAGGCTGTCGGGCCTGAAGTTTACTCTGTGTTACTGGCTAATTCCTTTGATTTCTGTTTGGAATATCGATCATCTTTTTATAAAAACATTATTTAACATCTCCCCCATCCCTGATGGTCATTTGTCAGTGTTTAACTCTTGGAGACAATCATTATGTTGTTAAATTGGTTAATTTGTCTATTTTAGCATTTTCCTAATGGCAAAGGTGGGGTTTTTCCTACTTGTCAGATTTCTTAGTACTTATATTGAAGTTGCTATTCTTACTATTAACAGATAATTCGACGGGCAAATGAGTGTGGGGAGAATCCACTGTCATTAAGTGATCGATTTTGCCAAGAGTATCTTGCTGACATGGCCGACCTTCAGTGCCTTACTCCAACACACCAACCTCGTGTGTCAGATCACTTGGAACAAATCAAGGATATGATAACTCAGGTATGTTTTTTATACCCACTCAAAAAGGAAAGCAAAATTCAGAATGCACCAATGATCAATCCGCATATACAAAGTACTTAAATTTTCTTTGTTTTTGCAAATTACTGAGTGCATCCACTGTTAATTCCCTTCAATATATTATCTACAATTATATTTTAGAATGCTTGTAACTTTTGTCTCACACCTAGCCAAGTGTGGTCCAAAGTTCACAGTATGAATTCTTGATGGTTAGTTAGTGAGCTGAAGTTTCTGGTGTAGTGTGCTTGCCACCTGAAGATCTTTCCAAATGTTGTGTTCTTGTTGAAAACTATGATATTATTAACGGATATCTTTTATTTCTTACCTTATGTGGACAAAACAAAACTACAAATTAAATATGCACAGTATCCTGTGCATGTTGAAATTTTAGCTACAATTGTCTTTTCATGTGAATGATTCGAATAGGTTGGAGGATATTTTTATTGTTTAATTTAGGGTGCGTTCTCTTTAGAAGTTAAAAGAATAGTATGTTGCATTTCATAAAACCATAGTTGTGTTGCCACATAGCTTCATATGAAGATCTTTATGTTCATGACATGAATTAAGGGTAACAATTACTCCTGACTGATTTGATTGCCGTCTTATTTCATCGTTGGTTGATAAATTTTTGCAGATTATAAAGAATGAATATGGCTATGTGGTTGATGGAGACGTGTTCTTTTCTGTGGAAAAGTTTCCAAATTATGGCCAGCTGTCAGGACAAAAGCTTGAAAATCATAGAGCAGGTGAACGGGTTGCTGTTGACCTGCGAAAGTGTCATCATGCTGACTTTGCATTGTGGAAGGTATAACGTGGATATCAATTAGGCTATGAAGTTGGAATAAAATAGGAATTAGTTGTATAGTGTTGTTAATTTGTGTAAATTACATAGGCTGCAAAACCTGGTGAGCCAAGTTGGGAAAGCCCGTGGGGTCCTGGAAGGCCAGGATGGCACATAGAATGCAGTGCTATGAGTGCTCATTATCTTACTTTTAAGTTTGATATCCATGGAGGTGGTATCGATCTGATCTTTCCACATCATGAAAATGAGGTTGCACAGAGCTGTGCTGCCTGCCAAGAGAGCAAAATCAGTTTTTGGATGCACAATGGGCATGTAACAAATAATAACGAGAAGATGTCCAAATCACTGGGTAATTTTTTCACCATTCGTCAGGTAGTATGGGCCTAAAGGAGATATTATAGTTTTTTACTTTTTGTTTATTGTTTTGGTATTGCTTACTGATTCCTTTTTTAACCTTCTTCTGTAGATTACGGAAAGGTATCATCCATTGGTTTTGAGACACTTTTTAATAAGTGCTCACTATCGATCTCCTCTCAACTACACTGTCTCTCAGTTGGATAGTGCATCAGATACGGTATATTATATATACCAGGTTCGTAACCCCATCAATGCATTTTAATCCCCTCTGGCATTATTATCAGATGATGATCGTCTGTATTTATCATTTTATTGAGATATTGGCTCTTGATGTATGAAATTACAAACCCCATGAAAGGGATTACAAAAGCCCATAGATGGGTTACATAAGGCTCTTGATATTCATGGTATCGTTTTGGGTAATTGTTAGACTTTGCAAGATTGTGAAGATGGTTTATCAAAACATCAAGGGGAAAACCTGCCTGAGGGTTTGGGAAAGACAGCTAAAAAGGATCCTGTTACTTCTGCCGCTGAAGAATGCATCAGTAATCTACGTTCTGAATTTCAAACTAGAATGGCAGATGACTTGAACACAGCACATATATTGACTGGTGCTTTCCAGGAAGCTCTGAAGTTTATAAATAGTACTTTAACCTCGCTGAAGGTACAGTTTTCTGCATGCATCTAGCACATTCAATGCCTTGTTCCTTAGTTGAATGATTTAGTTTTATGTTCATAGTTTCGTCAGATCCTTTAAACTTAAATAAGCGTTGGAATCTATACTTTCAAAATTTTGTTGGTTTTGAGAATTGTAACTTGATGTGAGCACTTTTGTGGGCAAGATTTGAGGGGCTGATTTTTATGATTGTGTCGGTGTTTTTTTTTTGCCGGGTTTGGATATTTTCATACTGAGTTTTAGTGTTTTATGGCACCTTGATTATATTTGCATCGGTGATGGGTGGTATATTTGTTACTAGGTTTGATTGTTTTTATAGTTGGTTTTGGATGTTTTTGTTAGTCTTGAGTGATTATTGGGTTGGTTTAATTTTTAAAATTTGATAGTGAAGAAGATGATAATTTTACCATTTATTTAAGTTTAATGTTCAAATTGATAAAATAAAATTAATCTACTGGCTTATCTACAGCGGTAAAAATACTTGTTTTTTTCTTTTCCATTTTTTCCCATCCCTCTGCCCCTCTTCATATTTTTTTGGTTTCATGTAAAATAACCGTTCATGTTTCTGATTTTATCAGAAGAAGCAACCGAAGAAACAACAGCTCTCAATGATTCAGGCCCTTATCAGTGTGAAGAAAGAAGTGAGAGAAGTTCTAGATGTTCTTGGCTTGCTGTCCTCTTCTACTTACTCCGAAGTAAATATAATCTGCCCTATATATTCTATTTCCTTAGATTTAAATCTTATTTTGCTCCTTGTCTTTGGTCCTTGTACTTTAAAATTTTGATTCTTGAAATTTCATAAAATAATTATTTTAACTTTTGCAGTTAAATTTTCATTTTGCATTTATCATAAATCACTTGTTTCCAAATGTTTAACATCTGGCTTTAAATAAACATAGGTCTATGTGAGGCTACTAACATTTTTGTTCGAATGCATGACAAAAGTTTAACGTAAATGTCCGAAATGGATCTTTTTGTAATTTAAATAGATCAAAATAAAACATTTTAAAATATTAGGATTGTGATAGAGAACAAGGTGAAAATCCATAGATTAAATTATTAGGATTCAAATATTTGAATGATTATGAAACTCAACAATACATTTCTGAGGTTAGTTGTTTCCACTGTGCAGGTTTTGCAACAGTTGAAAGACAAAGCCCTGAAGAGAGCAGAGATGGTGGAAGATGATATACTGCGTCTGATTGAAGAAAGAGCCCAAGCAAGGAAAAACAAAGACTTCGCCAGAAGTGATCATATCAGAGCCGAGCTGTCGGCCTTGGGCATCGCTCTCATGGATGTTGGCAAAGATACCATCTGGAGACCGTGCGTGCCCGTAGAACTGGAACTGGCACCGCCACCTCCAACGGTTGAACAGAACAAGGCCACCCCCCCATCAGTCGAGCAAAAACCGACAGAGCAGCAGGTTGCTCAGCCACTAGCAGTTGAACAGAACAACAAGGCAGTACAAGAACGAACAGTAGAGGTTGCTCAGCCACACGAGGCGGGAAAGAAGGCGACAGTGCCCGTGTGATGTATCTTCTTCGTTGACGGGAAGGATGGGTGAGATTTTACATTTTTGGCCATTTTTAAACACTTTCTTTCGGCCATTAATGCAGAAAGCTGAAAGATTTTGAAGAGCAGCCTGGTTGTAGTGTATAGGTATAAGGTATGTAACTTTATCTATACATAATTTAATTGTTGTGTTACTGTGAATTTTTATTATCTCCCACACCGCAGTTTATTAGGGAACCAAATATTCGACCCAGCTGACTGCCTATAACTGAGTTGTTTTGCCATTTGAAATAATTGAATATAGGCGAAGAGGATAGCTGATAATTTAATTATTGTCAGTTTTTTCCCCCAAAAAAATCTCAGTTTTAACAATGAAAAAATTAGATGATGCAAAGAAGATGGTGAATGATGGTACAAGTTGGTGAATATGTTGTGTAAATATGCATAAAACTGCAGTTTATATTTGTACTACATGGCTACGACTAGATGTAATATTACCATACAATATGCACAAAATGGTCAACAACTTCCATCAGGTTAGTGATCTGAAAATAGAAACACTAGAGTTGTATTTCATATTTTTGGTGTCTTCAAAGTTAAAATATATGTTTAATAGTAGATTTGAAAATTGAATTCAGAAAATTGTTCAAGGCGTGTTTAGTATTATATTTGTAAATTAGTTGTAGTTATCAATTAAATATTTAGTTCAATCTAAAATATTATTAATTAATTTATTATCATATATATTATAAGTTTTGTATAATTATTATCTTATTATGCTCTAATTTATAATATATTATGTTTTACATGTTTTAATTTAAAAAAAAAAATGAAATATGTGTTTATCACATGAAAGTATATTTATCAAAATTTTTATATTTTTTGAATGTAATTGGTTTAAATTCAATATTTGAAAATATTTAAAATATAAATTTTTACTATTTGAATTTGATTGAATGAATCTAAAAATAAGAAAAAGAATTTGAATTAGATTGACTCAATTATAAGCCTGCGTCACTCCAACAAACCAATCTTAATCCATATGACCCGAATTCAAAAGGTCTATTATTATTATTTTTTAGTCGTGGATAATGGCCGAGTAGAAGATACGCCCAAGTGAGTGGGATTTTCATTGGACTAATGAATAATTTTATTTGGGACAAGCATATTCCTAACACAAAATAATTGTTTAAGTTTAGAAAAACTAAATTGAGTCGTAAATGAGTGTATTAGAATTCAAAAGTTGAGCAATAGACCTACCCAATTCAAATCTTTTATAAAAAATGGTGGACTCCATAACTCAATCAAGGAATTGCCTTGGATATAACTTGTTCCACGACTCCATAGAATAAAAGGTCTACCCGCACTTGAAAAGGGAAAAACATTGATAACGATTCGAAGATTCGTCTTACATTTACAAGTATCCATTATATGTTGGTAGATCTTTAGGTTATTGGAGGGACGCTTCTATTGAAAAAATAAATTTCTCCTATTTTAAACTCAATTTTGAACCCTAATACAAGTAGCTAACACAATCAGTTAAATAGAAAGACTAGCTCTTTTTTTTTTAAAAAAAAGAAAGACTAGCTCGTTTGTCACATAAATAATAATATGCCACATAAATCAATATGGTAACATAACCTATAATGGTACGAGCGATATGTGATATTTGACTCAATTGAAACTTTTAAAACTATAGGAATCAAAATGAGACAAAATCTAAACTATATAAAATTTAGAACAATAGAAATCAAATTAAAACAGCGATCGAATCAAAGGAATTGAATTGGTAATTTAACATTTATTTGAATACTAAAAAATAAGGGATTAGTACATTGATGAGCTATTTAAAGATCCTAATTACATAAAAGGATAGAATGTATAGAATTTACACATTTGTCATGTATTAACCTTATTTAAAAAGGTACACATTACATAAATTACTTAAATACCCTCCTGTATCTACAAATTAATTTTTAATTCATTTTAAGATGCAGAATTGATTAATTGAAAGGTTACAATTTAGATCCCATAATTTTAGGTTAATGATACTTTCCAAAACAAATTAAAACACCAAAACATTAAAAACAAAATCCTAAATTCCCCAAAATTGAAATCATAACCTCCCAAAATATCTC